GAGGACAGGGGGGAAACCGGCAGGATGGGGGGTACTTACCTCCTCCTGCTGCTTCCTCTGTCTCCCTCCCGCGAGTATCGCGGGCCCTGCCCCTTGGAAGGTGGGAAGGGGAAGGGGTAGTGGGAAAGCCTGGGTAGACCTGGACTCCGAAGGCCAGGTCTACCAATGCAGTGGGAAGGGCTGGGTAGACCTGGACTCCAGAGGCCAGGTTTACCACTGTAGTGGGAAGGGGTGGGTAGACCTGGCCTCTGGAGGGGGGGTGCGCTCTGGGGCAGGGGGGGGAGATAGAGCCAGGGGGTGGAGGAGACGGGGGAACTGGCGGGATGGGGGGGAACTTGCCTCCTCCTGCTGCTTCCTCCTCATCCTCATAGGTGTGGAGCTCCCCCTCTCCCGCGAGTATCGCGGGTCCCCCACTTGTACAGCTTGAATTCTGCATGTATAAGTGTGTGTGTGTCTGTCTGCTACTGAAAGTCTGTGTCTCATCATTAGGGATGGGCACAAACCAGAAAAATTGAGTTTGAGTTAAATGGCTGCCGTTTGTTTCACTTCCCCGTTTCACTTCCCCCTGCTTTAAAGTGGGACAGAGTGAAACGGATGGGTTTAATGGCTTGCAGCCATTTAAGCCTAACAGCAGGGCAGGTGTGCCCATCTGCTGTTAGGCTGACATGGCTGCAAGCCAATTCACTGATCAGTTTCACTTCCCCCACTTGGAAGCAGGGAGATCAAAATGGATTGGTGAATTGGCTTGCAGCCTTGTCAGTCTAACAGTGGATGGCCAACCTGCCCTGCTAAGTTTAAATGGCTTCAAGTCTGTTCAGTGATCCATTTTGCTTCCCCCACTTCCAAGCAGGGGAAGGGAAATGGATTGCTGAAACAGTTGAGTTTAATGACTCGCAGCCATTTAACCCTAACAGTGGGTTAGGTGTGCTCATCCATATTAGGCTGACATGGCTGTAAGCCAATTGAACAATCCGTTTCACTCCCCCCACAAAACAGATGGGTTTAATGGCTCACAGCTATTTAAGCTTAACAGCAGGGGCAGGTGTGCCTATCCGTTGTTAGGCTGACATGGCTGCAAGCCAGTTCATCAATCCATTTCGCTCCCCCATGAAACTGATGGGTTTAATGGCTTGCAGCCATTTAAACCGAACAGCAGGCAGATGAGCCCATCCACTGTTTGGTTTAAATGACCCGAACAGCCAAACTGAACTGAGCAGAACATTGGTTTGGGGGCCATGAACCGGGCCAAATTTGTGATGTATTTTGGCTCATGAACTGGTTCGTGCCCATCCTTACTCATGATTTCAACACTACTGCTATGACAATGTCCCAGTTTGCCAGCCAGAATATAGAAAGGGACAGGTTTTTATTTTGCTATGTATCAACAGAGCATGACTGTGCCAGTACATATATTAATGACTTTTCTTCACTGACCCACTTAAAATTCAGCATCCTTCTGGTTGGTCCAGAAACTGTTAAAAACTACCTTTGTAAACCCTGGGTTTTTCACTTAGTACTGTTATTTCTTAACACTTGCAGTACAGATAGAACAGTACAGAAGAAAGGCATTCCTACCTACACAAGAGACCTCTCTCTCTGAATTATGAAGTTAGTGTAATGTAAATTGCATCTCAGTGCCTTTATTTTTCCAGCCTTCACACAAGTGTTCTGATTACTTTGTTTTAGAAACAGGCATCAAGAAACTCCCAAGAAAATAGAGGGTGCTAAACAGGGCCATAGCTAGTGTGGGGCCCATGGAGTGAGGCTCCCTCCCAAATTCTTAATGCCCCCGAATCTGAGAACCCGCCCCGCAGTCTCTGCCTGGATGTGACCACTCTGCCCCTTCACCCGCTCGTAGTGGTTGCTGTGTGGCAATGGACAGGGCCAGAGTGGTCTCCTGCATGGTTCCTGGGCCTCAGCGCAGCCCTGGCATGCGGGGGCCGGAAGTGCCACATCTCTCTCAAGAGTGGGATCCGCTCAGCGGTTCCTGTAACTGCTTCTCGTTATGCACTGCCAAAGCCTAGGCTAACATGATCGCAGCACCCCCATGGGACCAGAAGGCTTCTCAGTGTAGCAGTGCTGGCGGCAGCCGTGCACCACAGAGGAGCCAGGCAGGCTGGCAGAAGCGTCTGCATGAAAGCCAGATGGTTGGCCAGCCCTTTGCACGCACTCTCCTGGGAACTAGTAGTGGCTTCACAAAGGAGGCTGCAAGCCGGCACACCCGAGGAAGCTCGGAGCAGTGGGGGGGGGGCGGAAGCCAGGCAAGGGAGACGCTCTTTCAGGCAGATTGGGGTGGGAGGGAGAGCCAGTTTGGTGTCATGCGAACTCTAATCTGGGAGAACTGGGTTTGATTCCCCACTCCTCCACATACAAGTGCTGGTGTGACCTTGGGTCAGTCACACGTTCTCTCAGACCTGTTCTCTCATGAGCAGTTCTCGAAAGAGCTCTCTCAGCCACACCTACCTCACAGGGTATCCGTTGTGGGGAGGGGAAGGGAAAGAAGATTGTAAGCCGCTTTGAGACTCCTTCAGTTAGTGAAGGGCAGGGTATAAATCCAATCTCTTCTTCTCCTTGCCACGTCTCCTTCCTCTGCTGTGCATGCACTTGCTCCCCTTGCTGTCGGGCACTTCCATTCTTCTTTCTCCCTTGCCCCCCCCATCCAGTGTCCCCCCCACCAAAAATCATCTAGCTACAGGGGCTGAAAACTGGCCAATGGTTCAAAAGACACGGCCTGTTTCTTAAGGGGGGGGAGACTTTACAAATTATTACATTAAAATACATGCAATGTGTTGTCTTGTTTGATTGCATGGTTAATCTGACTTTCAGAAATCTTTACTTCCTGTATAATGGCAGCTTTCTTCTATAAATTCTGAGATTGTTATGGTACGTCTGGGCACTGATAACATCTGCACTAGTGAAGAAGTAGGTCTGAGCATAGAATTGGTGCTGGCAGTCATACATCAAATGGTACTTGATATAAAGAGAGGCATTATTCTTCTGAAGCATGTGGGCCTATAAGACAAGGCAGTTCAGTGTTTTCATTTGTCTGACTGAACAATACTAAATCAGCACTCTGTGCAGTTGAACAATATTAAATTCTCAAGGTATATTGGAAGTGTGATCCAAAAGAGAACTATTGCAGATAACTATGCAATGGCCTGGAACAGCTGACCCAAGAACCAGGTGAGGAGAACTTTTTACTGCAGTGTAAATATAATTTAAATTGAAATGAGATGGATGGCCAGGCAGATAGAAGTTCACTCATAACTACCAGCCTAACTCAGCCAAAACTGTTCAGATCAGTCCGTGTATCCGGAAGGAGATGAGAATAGGTGAGACCTAATAGCAGCAGTGTCAACCTCCATCAACTTCTCATCATTCTGTGTCACCTCTGATGGGGAAAACGTATGGATTCTCATAAAAATATGGAAATTACTTTGTTCATGGTGCTTTTTTAAGAATACAGATAAGCGCCATTTTTATATTTTAAGATAAAAGCAGCATGGGAGCAGTGTTCCCTCTAAGCTGAGTTAGTGTGAGCTACCTCACAATTTTTTAGCCTCCGGCTCACACATTTTTGTCTTAGCTCAGGAAG